ACACCGCGGCTCGCAGTGGGCACTGCCCCGCTGGCAGTTCCGAACAACACACAGGCCTAATCATTTGCCTAATATTTTGTAATGTTAAATACAGCTTGTCTTGAAAAATCCCCCGAGGCACAGAATCAGGTACAGAACCGCATCCAACCTCTGAACAACTTTGTGATGAGTTAGCTTGGTTTTCCAAAACATTCTACCTCTGCAAACTCTTCAGTCAATTCACTGTTTTGTATAACTTGAGAGCAGCCTAAAGCTAAGCAGTTGAGTCTTCCCGTTTGAAAGTAATTACTTCTATTAACATCTTCTAAACAGGCAATTATTGTGCCTGAGATTAAAAAACAAAAAAAATCCTTTACTGACCTTGTGTTAATCTGGTCAATGCCTGAAATGGCACGTCCATGTTACTAGAACCACCACTATTTACACTAGATGTTCTTCTTTCATTACACATATGAAAACAAAGCACTGTTACCAACAGATTTTCCCATCCTAAGGAATACCCTGAAATCTTTGTCAAACTTTCTCGCTTTCATCATTGCTCAGCTCATCACACAAACCATCTGCATAAATAAAGATGCAAGCATCTGCTGTATGGCAAATAGTCTCAGGGGCAGATGTTTTTATCCTTGTGTTCATGTCACTGGCTTGGATACATTATTTGAACAGATGTACACAATCTGAAAGTGTCGTGTCCCACAGTGAAATGTCTCCAACTGCTTTCTATCAAAGTACATAAATGCTATTTGCACCTGCATTTATGTTAATGATATAAAGGCAGCAGGGGTTCCAGCAAAGTGAGAGCTGATGCTAAGAAACACATTTACAAGGCTAATGGAAGTTTGAGATCTCCCAGCACCAAACACCATACTAACATGGATACAAAATGTGCAGAACCATACTTGACCTATGATTCTAAAAAGCCTAAATTAAACATACTTGAAGGACAAAACTATTACTTTAGTGTGTGATACTATTTTCCAATGGATATTTTAAAAAGATAAAACATATTAGATTAACAAACCAGGACAGCTTTAGATTTTGCAAAACATTTGTCTAAGATACACGGTTCTTTCATGTTAGAGTCATTTAACAAAAATATTTTCTAAAATCTGACAATGTCAATGATATTTCAGTTCACTAAGGCACAGTGGTATTGTATGCCATGATGGAGCATGATAAAAAATATCAACACTTGCTCAATGGCAAATATTTAACATGAGTGTGAATAGTCAAATATAATGCTTCAGTGATTGTTGTCATGTCATATGAATGAAATGATAATTTCATAATCCTGAGGAAGAAATAAAATTTGACAAGTTCAATACTTATTGTTCAGAAAAGTGCATCTAATTGAACACGGTGTTACAATTGCTTGCTACTTAAAAGATAGTCACGCTTCTTAAAAAATATTTTAAAACTGAGAAAAATACAGATGTCTTGAAGGAGCACGGATTAAATTACAGAACACCTGCTATTACATGACAAATGGCAGCAGTGAAGTGTTTAGCTGTCACTCAAAGAACTTGCACTAATCATTACTTCCATACTTAACTGAAAAATAACAAGCACACTCAAAGTACAGAAACACTGACAAATATGCCACATGGAATGCAACTGATGGATAGGTTCTATATCCAATCTAATCTATTTCTGAAAGTTTTATTTGTAAGAAATGTACCAACATAGGAGCTGTACATAAATCATCACAAATTACTAATACCCTGCATGTTTTCAAAGTGCTACATTTAAGAAACAAGTGGTACTTGATATAAGGACAGAAAAGTATCATAGTAAAAAAATATAAGGAGACTAATGTGTTTGTAGAGTATCATCATTTCACACTGATATCACTCCTGCTCATGATCTAGGGAGGCCCTGCAGAGAGACCTGGACAAATTAGAGGACTGGGTAACCACCAGCCACATGAAATGCAACAGGCAAAGTGCTGAATTCTGTTCCTGGGATGAGGCAACCCTGGATGTAGAGACTGGGCAATGAAAGTTGGAGAGCTGTGCCACTGAAAGAGACCTGGGGTCCTGGTCCATGGCAAGCTGAACCTGAGCCAGCAGTGCCCCTGGCAGCCAGGAGGGCCAACCCTGTCCTGGGGGACATCAGGCACAGCATGGCCAGCCGGGCAAGGGAGGGATTGTCCTGCTCTGCTCTGCACTGGAGCAGCCTCACCTCGAGTGCTGGGGGCAGGTCTGGGTGCCACAGTGTAAGAAGGATACAAAACTGTCAGAAAGCATAAAAAGGAGAGCCACAAAGATGGAGCAGGGCCTTGAGGGGAAACCGTGTGAGGAGCAGCTGAGAGCACTTGGTCTGTTCTGCCTGGGTGAGAGGACACTGAGGGGAGACCTCACTGCAGTCTGGTGAGGGGCAGAGGAGAGACAGGCACTGATCTCTGCTCTGGTGACCAGTGACAGGACATGAGGGAATGGCCTGAGCTTGTGTCAGGGTAGGTTTAGGTTGGATATCCAGAAAAGGTCCTTCACTCAAGGGTGGTTAGTCCCTGGAACAGGCTCCCCAGGGCAGTGGTCACAGCACCAAGCCCAGTGGAATTCAAGAAGTGTTTGTACAATGCTCTCAGGCACAGGGTGTGACTCTTGGGGGTGGTGCTGTGCAGGGCCAGGAGTTGGACTCTGTGATCCTTGTGCGTCCCTTCCAACTCAGCTTATTCTGTGATTCTGTGACTTCTAACATGGAAGCTCACTTCCAAGTGAGCTTTACCATTCCCTCTGGGTACAAGTCAGTAACAGGATACTGACTGGAGTGGATTTTGATTTAGGAGAAAAAAGAAAAAGCCTTCAAAAAAAAATTCAAAGCAAATGCTTAATCAATTTGAAGTTTACATACAGCTTCACAGTCTATACTCTATTACTATTCAGAGATGTCTTTAACATAAGACTATAAACAGGGTCAAATTCCTGTTACTTAAAGAAAAAAATCAAATTAATGCTTTTAAGTATTAGAAGTGAGTACTTTAGTCACAAGCATGAGAATGTAGAGCACACTCTGGGGTGGGCAGCTTTACCCAACAGGAAGTACTTTCTTCCTTGAAAGAATAGTCCCAAGAGACACAGAACTCATCAACCAAAATCAATCAGAATGACATGCTTCTGGAACAGCTTCTCAGAACTATTACAGCATCATAAAAATACTCACTCTTCACAAAACAGGTAAAGTATAAACTTACATGACAGTAAAAGCTCAAGGCTTCAAATAAAGTAATAGATAGTGCTATTCCTAATTAACATAAGTACTAACAATGGAAACTTAACTGACAACCAGCAATGGTTCTGAAAGGTCCATTAGAGCTGATGTCATACCCATCAAACATTCACTCACATTTAAGTATCATTAAAAATGACATTCATGTTAAAAATCATACTTAAACATTAGCATTGAGACACAGATCAAAAGAGAAGGGAAACTGAAGTTACAGCTACACATTTAGAGGCTTGAGAATACATAAATACCCTTACTAATAACAGAGGGAAAAAAAATCAAGACATCAACCCTAGTGAAAACTAAATTAAATGAAAGACAACTTTTGAAGAAACCACATAGAAGAAAGAACTAAACACACAAAAAAATTAGTAAGGATGGAAATGCTGAAGAAAAGGCATTTAAAAATCCAAGTTAATGTTTCTTCCTATTTCTGCTAACAGTGTAGCATAATTTGCAGATAGATTTAACCCCATTTAATATAGGGATCAAATATAGCAGGGATTTTCAAATATATGAAGATTTTTAAAAAATTAATAAAACCTGAATACTTAATTCTGCTGAATCAAAGAAGAAGCAGATTTATGCACTTCAGGTGTTAAGAGTAATTAGCAAAGCCCTAAAGAAGAATACACTTTTAGCTATTGTAATTGTTTAACGTGATAAATGCTGCAGTAATGGCTTTTTTTTCCAAATCATACCACAGCAGAGTAGTAGACACAAGTAATACAGTGATTAATAATGATGATATTTTTTCCACATTTTGAACCACAAGCATCTAGTTTCTAAATAAAGTATAGAAAGCATACCATACCTGCAGAAACTGTTAACGGATTCTGCATTATGCCCTTTAACAGTTACGACAATGTTCCTAGAAAGAAATACAGATACTTAGAAGCTCTGATAATTTCTTACAAACTAACAAAAAAAAATGAACAGGACAATGGCAATAGTTTCCAGATTGTATTTCAGAATGGATCCCAATATGTCCACAGCGCTCATGAAAACACCACCAGAGATTTAAACCAAGGGTTTCTTTGGACCCCTATATGTGCTCTCCATATTTCAACACTAACTTAGGCTTCTTGTGATTGAACAACCTTCTTAAAGCCAGGAAAGAGCACAGTCATGAATCCCAACATGGCAATACATTCTGAAGAATCACAGACAATGTAGGGTTAAGCAATCATTTCCCTTCAAACATGTGGACCTGTAGGGGAGGATCCAGAGGAGAGCCCCAGTGTTAATCAAAGGGCTGAAGGCACCTCTCTATGAAGACAGAACTGGGGCTGATCAGTCTAAAGAATGGAAGGCTCCAAGGAGACCTTATAGCACCCTCCAGTACCTAAAGGCAGCCAGCAGAAAAGCTGGAGTGGACTTTTTACAAGTGCATCTGCAGATAGGACAAGGGGTATTGGCATTAAACTGAAAGAGGATGGGTTTAGATTAGATACTAGGAAGAAATTCTTTACTGTAAGGATGGTGAGGCACTGGAACAGTTTTCCTAGAGAAGCCATGAATGCCTCCCCAAGGCCAAGCTGGATGCAGCTTTGAACAATGTGATCTAGCAGGTTACCTGCCCAGGCAGGGCTTTGGGACTCAGTGGTGCCTTTAAGGTCCCTTCCAACCCGAATCGTGACAGATGTATCTGGATCTGGATCACTGCATGGATCCCACAAAACTGACCAGCAGAATCCTCCATGGATGCTACAATGAAGATACCACTTTGCTCTTGAGAACCAAACATTACAGTGCCACCTGTCCTGAATGTGCTGTTGGCATTTACAAGAAGATGTGATGCACTGCATTGGACAAAATGGCTTTACATCAAATGGCCACCCAGTAAATGAAGAGTTGGCCACTTCTTTCCAGTGCAGCTCAGTGTGCTGTTCAAGCTCTGCTGAAGTGGGATTCAACAGTCAGGGAGGAAAGACACAGGATAACACCATGACAATATAAAATTGTTGTTATCCACTTAGATTTATTTTTCATAAAATGGCCTAGCTTTTGGAATGGCTGCATCATAGTTTGGTTCAACTGAACACCAGTAACATGTTAGACATCACAAAGGGTATGAAGCTCTTGTTCTCCTGATGCAGCCAGATGCTTCGGGAAGGTAACAGACAAGTCCATTGACTGACACAGATGGAACTAAAACTTCTTGAGGATATACTCAGATCTTGGCTTTCATACCAGTGAACATCTACAACATTTCCACAAACAAAGCCAGCTGCACAGATGTGGAGATTGCTGACTTTCCTGACCAATTCAACAGCCAGGAGAACCTTACATAAAGAACATGCTAGACATGCACTCAAGACACACCTTCTGAGCACATGAAGTACCAAAGATTAGTTTTGCTTAAATACAGAATACATAGGACAAATAATGATGCAAATACCAAACAAAATAAGCCTTGAACATATTTCTTTACTGTCACGCAACTGACTCCCAAAAAGCAATGGTGAGGTTCAGGAAGAAGATGGTTCTGTAGGTAGCAGTAAAAGGAAAACCAGTTCCATTTTCAGGAAGCTCAGCATCAAAGCACAGAAGAACACTGAGCATGGCTGCTGTGAGGAGACCTCTCACACAGCAAACAGGAGAAGCTCTCTGGCACCTGTACCTTCTGTCCTGAGCCACGGCTAACATGCATGCTGGTGCATCAACCAGCACATCCTGGCAGTGGCTTCCTGATGCCCATCAGCAGATCCCAGCTGCCTCAGAGAGCCTCTGTCCGTGGTACTTGAGCAGCCAAGCCATGAGCTGTCAGGCCCAGCATCCAACACACCCTGGCTCATTTAAATGCAGATGGATCTTGTGGGAACATACAGACAGCTCCCTCTGCACATCCAAGAATGGAACACATTGGCCACATTGATGTAATTCTGGAATGGTGACACAAGTCCAGAAATCAGTGTGGCTTTCCAACTTCTGTCACCCACATTGTAGGACATCCACCTTCAAGGCCATATTGATCAATAACAGCTTTTCAGAGAATCAAAGTCTGAAGTTTTTCTCCCCCCTCAGTATTTACAGGACTCCAAAACACACTGAAACATTTAAAGCAACACATATTCTTGTAAAAAGAATTGGAGAAATTATATTCAAATAAAGCTTCTCAAAATTATTATTTCAAAGTCACTGTTTTTTTTTTTTTGTTTCCATGGTCTTTCCCTGTGTATGGGAGCATTAAATAATGTTAAGAGGGTGCCTCATCTATAGTTACTATCTACTTTTAGAATTACAACAAACCAGACTTCAGGATACAGATCAACAATTCTTAGAATACTATGTGGAAATAGAAGCTCCAGACATTTTTCCAATGTTCTTCCCAGACACATTCACAAACCCCAACACTACAACACAAAATTGGATCATATAAATCCAAACATTTTCCAGAGGCATCTCTGATTTGAATTCAACTCTAACTGCAGAAAGGTAATGGTATTAACCTAGAAAATCACTGCTTATTTGATAGACATTGATCATCTGCTCTTACTAATAATCATTATAATTTTTAAAGAGTATAATTTCTCCAATTAACATTGATAATTTCTTTTAGCAATTAATGAATAGTATTTTTATTATTGTTGTCATATGAAAGAACCTTTCACTACACTTTATATTTGGAGCTATTTAATCAAGTAACCTCCTTTTTGGAAAAACTGAAGAGCTCAAAATGAAATCAGGACAAATTCTTATCCCTTCATTTTTTTCTATCCATCCTTATATGCATTACGTGTTAAAGCATGTTTTCTGTGACTACATATAGTTTACAAAGCAAACCATAAACACTGTGCATCGGTCCCATCTGTGTTTTACACTGTTTTCAAATACATCAATTGTGATTCTGTCTTTTTGATCCTCTGTCTGACAGTTTTTGACACTTTTCTGCTAGGCTCTAACACGTTTAACAGATATTTATTGTCTACACACATTTTATGCATGTCCTAAACAGAAAATGCAGTCTAACTAAAAAGTTCTGTACAGTACATTGATTTAAACTTTTAGAATTTGAAGATTATAACCACAAAACTATTTATGCCTGCCCTGAGCAGGTTTGGGAGGTTTTTTTTCCCATTTCACTATAAATCTGAATTGGTATGACTACTTCCCATAAAAAAAAAAAAAAAAAAACCAAAAAAAAAAAACCAAGAAAAAACAACATGCTGATGTGTTGTGGTGTGTTGCAATATCCTGTTTTACCTTCTCCCTTCCCCCTCGCCCCTCGCTGAGTGTGCCCTGTCAATCAGGCTAACATACCAGCAAGGCGTCGTGTGATAGGTGTCCCTAGTCCCTTGAGACCCTGCCCCTTCACCTGGTTGGTGACTCACCTGTCCCCTCCCCTTCCCCTGTCCTTAAAATGTTAATGAGACCATGCGGCCTCCATTCTGTTAGCAGCAGTGGCCCAGTGCAGACATCTCTGTACCAATGGAATAAACATCTGGCAACCTTCTAGCAGAATCCGCTCCCTTTATCTCCACTATCGCCAGAAGCTCTCTCTCCTGAGGAGAACGGAGTCCTGTCTTGTGCCCCGCTGCACTCTGCCGCCAGCCAAGGTATCTCTGGGGTAAAACACCACAGTGCTGCCTTTGGCCAAGCAGCGAGGGTCAGAACTGACCTAGGCACCATCTAACTGGTTATATTGGGATACATATTCCAATACTGATGTTCAAAAAAAGCTACACTTAGAATTAAAATTAATAACTAAATTTTGTACTTCTTTTACATTCTTATATCCAGAAAAAGATTTAGGCTGGTCAGCTACTAATAATTCAGTATGTCCTGATGCTTTCACTGAGTACTGAAGAGGCAAATGTTCTTTCACTCTTCTCTGGTTATATTTCAATCCAATACTGTTTTTTTCCAAATACATTAATTTCTATCTGCCAATATCATGAATTCTTCTCCACCTGAGAGCTTATCAAAATGATAAAAATTTTTAAAATTCTATATAATCTTAAAATTTGTTTCGCTCAGTTTATAACTCTACCATAAGGCCCTAAATAAACTCATTCAAGTCTCAGTGTTCCAGAACTCAAATTAGTTTTCTAGAAATCTGCTGCTGACTACTCAGAGATGAAAAGAATCTATTACAAGAATTTCAAGTGAAGTGGAGTTGAAGCTGGACAGAATTAGAAAGTAAAATCTCTCTTAATGCCATAAAATAACCTCTATCTGCCTGTACTATTCCTCATGTTACCAGAGAATGAAAGGATAAATTTCATTATTCCTAAGAGGCAAAAATAGCAAGCAAACTGGAAAAAAAATCCCATACTGTAACTCAGTCTCTAACATCCAAAGGAAGCAGAGCATATACGTGTAATAATTTCAAAGCAATTTTCACAGGAAGATACCCACAGGTCTTTTATATGAAACAGGTGTCCTGATAGACACACTGAATATGAATATCAGTTGAACCCAATTAACCTAATTCGATGCTTGTCCATACTAAGACATTTATCTTAGATGTTACACAAAATCCTTTAGGATATTACAGAGAAAGCGATAAATAGGCTGTAAAGGTTATGACATTAATTTTACTGTCATCCTCATGCTTTAAGCAGACATCAAAACTAAAAACCTCGTCCTCTGGGAAGGAAGAACTACCTGAAAGTAATTATAGGACTTATTATCATAACAGTATTAAACTAGACCACTATGACCCTAACCAAATTCATTTTTGGTACCTTTTGTTAAAAGAACAAAGCGTCTCAATGACGACTGCACCTTCTAATACAGTGTACATTAGTACAGGCACTAGAAGAAAGCATTAAATCAAATATTGTAACTTCATATTAGGCTTAATTATGAATTCTAATTTAAACTAGGCACGTAAAGAAATATTATGTAATTTAATTTCAGAAGGAA